TGTGAAATTTGACAGTCAATAATGTATACGCTAAAATAAGAGTCCATTTCAGACACACAGGTGTTGTTGTTAAGTGCCATCTAGTTGTTTCCTATAGGATCCTATGAACAGCTCTGCCCATCCTTCTCCCATCAAAACTCACACCTTTGGGATTGCAGCGTAGCTTCTTGCTACTAGCCACCACAGTTCCCTCCTATGCACAACAGCTCTGAACCCTACTCTATCCTGAGCCAGTGTCCTGCCTCTGACACACCTACCCCCATTACCCTAGTTATTGCGTCAATCTATCTCATCCAGGGGCTTTCTCTCCTGTGCTGTCTCTCTACCCTTCCAAGCATAATATCCTTCTCCAAGGACTGGTACCTCCTCACAATAAGGCCAAAGTATGCTAGATGGAGCCTCAAAATGCTTGATTCCAAAAGCAACTTGGTTTCACCCTCTGCAGGACAGACACACAGTAGTCGGGTCTAAAACTGACCTTGAATACTGTTGGCCTTCACAAGGTGTGCACAGTCCATTAGCACTTCCTTTGGAATATCTTCTATCTTCTCCCCCTGAAACAAAACAATGAATCAAAAGGTCCTTGTTATTGATTGATAGTGTAAGACCCACAGGACATGTGCTGCCTTAGAAGGCAATAATTATAATGAAAGCAAGGGCTCATTCAACCGATGTAAGGAACACTATAGTATTAAGTTTACTGTGTCCATCATGCCTCATCTCACAAACTTCAGGCATGCTGCCAGGAGATGATATTGCTTAGAGAAGGGCATCATGCTTGGAAAGGTGGAGGGACAGAAAAGGAGAGAAGACACTTCAATCAGGTAGACTGACACAGTGACTGCAGCAATGGGCTTGAGTGCATCAGAGGCAATGACAATCATACAGAATAGGGCAGGGTTCAGGGTCATTATGAGTTGTACTCGACTCAAAGGCATCTAACAACAAAAGCATGTCCATCAAGAAAATGTTTGCTTAAACTATGTAAAGGTAAAGGCAGTAAGAAGAAGAAAAAAATTAAAACTCTTTGAGCAGGAAAAAAAGCAGGATCTAGAGGGGGCAGTCAATGACAAAACATTAATAGTAGTTTTTAAAAAACCTCACTGCTATTATGTTGGGGCTGACTCAAAGCTGACCCTTCAATGGTTTTTGAGGCTGTAAAGTGCAGGACAGAAGTATGCTCCTCTTTCTCCCACAGAGCTGCTGGTGGATTCCAACTACCAGAGGCGTAGCTTCTGGGTTATCAGTACAGCTTCCTATGTAGTATGCCGCCAGAGCTTCCCCCATAGTAACTGCTGTCATGTGCCCTCAAGTCAGATCCTCCCCCCGTAGGTTTTCAGAGGGTGTAATTCTCATGGGAGCAGACTGTCCATCTTCCAACTACAGAGCAGCTTGTAGATTAGATCCATGTGCCTCTGGCAGTACTGGTCCTTACCAGTAGGTCACCACAGCTCCCTTTAATAGTAATAATAGTGCACCATCGAGTTGGAACTGACCCACAGTTGACCTTCCATTAGTTGTTGTTGTTGTAGAGTCGGAACCAACCCAAAGCTGACCCTCCAGCTGGTTTTCAGAGGCAGTTAACCACAGGAGGAGACTGCCCATCCTTCTTCTGTAGAGCACCCTGTGGTCTCAAACCATAGCCTTAGGGATTGCAGTGTAGCTTTTTTGCCACTTGGCCACCAGAACTACAAAATTAGGTCTGAGTAATTTTTGTTCTCTTCCTTCTGCATTATTTCATGTAAGCTTGTGGGAAAAGATGATTTGACAATAGAAGCCCTAATCTGACAATTCTTTTTGACACCTGGAAGTCATCTTAGCTGAAGAACATTTTTTTTAAAGTTATAAAGTTCTAAACGTTTGGAAGGTTATCTTTCTTCAGCCTGAATCCCTTAAAGAGAAACCTTCCGAAGAAAGGATGATAGGCCACTGTTATAAAACAGGACTGACATGAGGGTTGAGGGAAACAGACGTACACTGCATTGAAACAGAGGAGGGAGAGAACTGTTTTAAAAAAATATATGATTAGGTATTATGTGCATGCCAAGAGTCCAGAATAAGAGCTGCATAGTGGACTGGGGGAACACCTCACGGAACCATGGTTATGTGCTTTGCTGCTAATTAAAGGGTCAGTGGCTCAAATTCACCATAGACTCTGAGAAAAAGCACATGAAGACCTGTCTGTCAAGATTACAACCTGTCTCCCAGGGTTGCTATGAATTGGAAGTGACTCAACAGCACACAAAATATGAGCATAACAATATACACAGCTTAGCACTAAACATAAAGAGGGTAAGCGAGTTTTGAGTAAAAGTTCTAAGGAGACTATAAAAATGTAAAAGCCAGAATCCAGACAGTGGGCTTTCAGCATTCTACATTATAAAAAGATACTATTAATTAAGCCAATGTTGCATAGACCATTATCGGAACTGCTGTCAACAAATTGTACACTTAGAGAAACGTGAAATGCCAAAAGTTGTCTGACATTTACATACAACAACAAAAAAAAGTAGTTATTAAGTACTTAAGTAGGATCAATTTTCTCATAGGACTTTATTCCTTGGTTTGGAGATTTAATCATGGCTTCACGGGCCATTCCAATTAAATGGCCAAATAACATGCCTAGTGTTTTTGTCTTATTTTCCCAGTTTGTTATGTGGTACTTGGGGTATTAAAATTTATAAGCAGCCATTCAAGGTACAATAATTGGTCTCTATTCAACAAGAAGAGAAGAAAGTCTGGAATAGAATATTGAATGTGTAGCTAGTTACCTTCAAGAACAACTGTTTTCTTTGCCATGAAACCAGAAAAACCAGATAGTGCCTAGCTACCACAACTGAACATTCTGATCAAAGACTTTATAAAATAATACTGATCAAAAGGTGAGAAACACAGAATCTCTAATTACTTCATGCACTGTGGACTTCCTGGGGCCATGAAGGATACAGGCACATTAGAAACTATTGCCTTATGCACACCCATGTTTATTGCGGCTTTGTTCACAATAGCAAGGAGCTGGAAACAACCAAGTGCCCATCAACAAACGAATGGATAGAGAAGCTGTGGTATATTCACACAATGGACTACTACGCTGCACTGAAAAACAAAGAACTCATGCAATATTATTCAAAATGGGTGAGCCTGGAGGACATTATGCTGAGTGAAATATCTCAGTCACAAAAGGACAAATACTGCATAGTGCCACTGTTGTAAAACAGGACTGACATCGGGGTTGGGGGGAGACTGAGAAAGATGGGATAAATAATGAATACTGCATTGGAACAGATGAGGGAGAGAAGTGTTTAAAAGGGATATGTGATTAGGTATTATTGTCATGACAAGAGTCCAGACTGAAGGCTGCATAGTGGAGTAGACCTGGGGGAGGGTTGGTAAAACAATGAATTTTTCTTTTACTTTTCAAAGAGTGTACAGGGGGTGGGAGTGGGGAGAAAAGTGCAACAATGAATGAATGGAAATACAAAGTCACTGTAAATTTTCATTAAAATGAATAATAATTAAAAAAGAAACTACTGACTTGAGATATATTTATATTTAACACCTAAATTAAAACTATCCTCTGAAGGAAGCCGTCTTCAAATCTAATAGTGATTTACCTTAACTAGTTGTTGTTGCTGTTATGTGCCAGACATAAAGTCACCTGTCATCCCTAGCGACTCTATGTACAGCTCTGGAGCCTGCCCTGTCCTGAGCCAGTCTCACTGACTCCAACACACTTACTCCCATTACCCCAGTTACTATATCAATCCATCTCATCCAGGGGCTTCCTCTCTTGCACTGTCCCTCCACCCTTTCAAGCATGATGTCCTTCTCCAAGGACCAGCCCTTCCTGGCTACATGCCCAAAATATGTGGGAGAGAGTCTCAAAACCTTGTCTCCAAGGAGCAGCTTGGTTTCACCCTCTCCAGAACAGACTTGTTAGTTCTCTTGGAAGTGCATGGTATGTTCAATACTTTTCTCCAGCACCACAACTCAAAGGCATCAATTTTTCTTCTAACATCTTTAGTCACTGTCCAGCTTTCTGAAGCACAGCAAGTAATTGCGAAGACCATGGCCTGGATCAGGAGCACCTTAGTCTCCAGACTGACATCACTGCATTTCAGTACTCTGGAGAAGTCCCTGACAGCACATTTTCCCAGTGCAATTTGTCGTTTGATTTTCTGACTTTTGGTGCCAAGAGTGTTGATTGTGGAGCTGAACAAGCTTGTATTGTTAACAACCTCAAAAAAAAAATGGTCTGTTGAGCATGTTGCCTTTTTATAACTAAAAACATGAGACTGAATCAGACAGTAACTTTAGGATGGTAGTGAGTTTATGTTAATTGGGAGGAACAGCTTAAAAATGAGGTGAGAATAGTTATATAATTTGAGGTATGTAATTAATGACATGAGTCATACATGGACAAACTGTTGAGTCTGTATATATCTTGCATAAATTCTCAACAATAGATCGTAGAGAGAAAATACTCTAAGTGAGATCTTTCTGTGAGTTTTCCAAATTAAGGAAGAAAAGAACACTAATACATGTTCATCATCTTCAAGGTTTGGGTTATATTCAGCTCTATGTAACAAAGTGGTGTGCCAATCGTGGTAATGGGTGCCCATGGTGGACAGTGTTGGCTGGAGCTTCCCAACTAAAACAAGCCTGGAAACAGGAGCGGCATCCACTTCGGAAATGGCTTGCCTCCGGAAACTCTATGTACGAACAGTGCTCAGGCTGTTCGTTCATAGGGTCGCTATGAGTCGTCTACAACTCGACGGCACCAAACAACAACAACAACAACATGTAACAAATTAGCTCTTAGCATGTGCCTTACAAGCAAGGATGGCAAAGCTTCAGCTCATAAACTTTGGGCGCATTGTTAGAAGGGGCCATCCTTTGGAAAGGGACATCATGCTCAGAAAAGGTGGAGAGTCAGCAAAAGAAGAAGATCCTCAGTGAGATAGAATGACACAGAAATGTCAGCAAGAGCTCAAGCATGTCAGAGATGATGAGGATGGCACAGGATAGGCCAGGGTTCAGATCTGTTGTTCACAGGGTCGTTATGAGTCACCTTCCCCTTGAGGGCACCTAACAGTGACAACAACACATGCCAGGTACTGTTTTTCCCTAACACCTATTCTCCTAAGTCTTTAAAGTACACTCATTTGGAAATCATTTGCAATTTTTTTTAACAACATGTTAAGATAGGTACTGTTAGCTTCTTTTTAAAATTGAAGCAACAGACATAAAAGTTAAACAACTTGTTCAAAGTCACACTTCTGGAAAACAACAGAGTCGGAGTACAAATCAGCAGTCTTGCTCCAGCCTACGTTCTTAGTTTTACTACATCTCCAATTCTTAACTGTACCTATTAAGAACAAAGTACGATTCTACTTGGAGCTCTGGTGGCTTAAGTGGTAAGATGATGTACTATCAACCCAAAATGTGGTTTGAATCCACTAGCGGCTCCTTGGGAGAAAGATGGACAATCTCTTCCCATGCAATTTCTGCTTTTTGAAAACCTGCAGAAGGGTCAGCTATGGGTTGGCTCCAATGACTACAACACCACCAATCTACTTGGTTCTTACAGAGATCAACCACGCACAAATATGATCCTCAAGGACCATATTTTTCCCAGCTGAGCACATTATGAGCTTCCAAAAGAAACTGAAATTAAACTTTTATGCAAATAAGCAATAATTCCTGGTAATGTTAACTTGCTTATTTTAATTTTTTTTGGTACTGTATGGTTATAACTTTTAGCCAGGAATCCCATTTCTAAAAACTATTACAAAAATTCTAAAGAAAAAAAAATTATCCCTTAAAAGATATTCATTATTAAAAAATAACCTATACTCCAATGAAAGAGCTTTCATATAAACTGTGGCATATTACCAACTCAACATAACCCATCAAGACAATCTGAAAATAGTGACATACTGATCAACTATATTTTTTAACAAAATTATATCATCAACAAGGAGGTCCCAAGATGAAATGGAGATTGACCGTAATATGGTAGTTTAAAAAAATAAGTTTTAAATCTCCCTATAAACCCTCCACTCACTAGGAACATCTGGCCTCTGTGCAGCTGGAAAGTCACATGAGTCTCAGGAAAAAAACCACACAAAAACACCAGAACACAATCTCCAATAAAGAATACAGAAAGTTCTGTAATGCCAACTGAACCTCAGGCAATTGATAACACACACAAAGTAGCATGATAAAAGTGGTGCTTCAAAATGAAAAATAAAGAAATTAAAAAAATTTAAAAAATGAAAAAAAGTGGTGCTTCAAAGCTAGAACATCTGTACCGTTTCTCCTTTCCAAATCCCAGAAACCACTCTGAATCTCTCTCAGTCAAGAGGACATCTCTTCATTTGCACGTTATTTATTAATATAAGTAATTTAAGTGTAAAACAAAGAAAAACATATGATGTTCATAACTAAAGAAAAAAAATTATGACTCTATGTTTAAACCCAGTTACCTTATGTAATCGAAGGTACACATGAGCCGAAGAGAGTTTGTCCACATGAAACCTATAAGGAATGAAAACCACTTTTAGCAAGGGGTACAAGATAAGCATCTCTTCAGAGCACTTGCATTTAAAGCAATCCAACCAAAAATTATTCCCTGGACATCACTCAAGTAACAGGCACTTATTATCAAAAACCAAACCCACTGCCATGAAATTGATTCCAACTGATGGTCGACTCTCCACTGGGATGTGCAGGCTGTAAATTGACCATCTTTCTCCTGTAGAGCAAGCAGCTAGTAGATTCAAACCACTGACAATCTGGTTAGCAGACCAACACACAATGCACTACCAGGGCTCTCTACTAAAGACCATGAGTAGTATAAGATATAGTCTCTGACTTCAAGGTGTAAGCTTTCAATTTGCATGTTTATGTTATATCATGAAGCTATTTATGACTAAATCTTTAAATGAGCAGTAGAGTCATTAAACGTGAGATATTCTGAGAAAGGACACAAAGGGAACAAGGACTATCTGTAATCATAATCAAAGGCTTCCCAGGTGTTTGGCTGGTTGTTCTCTGAATGAGCATAAGACTTAAGAGATAAAAAGACAAAAAAATTGAAATAGTAATAGGGAGAATGAAAGAAGTCAGATTCAATGTTGCAAGCCTGGGAATTTGCAGAACCAATGACACAATTGTACCAATACTCAAGATGGCAGGAGTTCAGAGGAAAGTATAAGGGTTCAAATGATGGCAAAAGAACATCAAGGGAATGCTAAGTATTAGAAGAATTTGAAGAGTTAAGCCAGGGCTAAAGGCACCAAGCAGGACACATCATAAAATGGATGAAACCAACAATTCATCCAGTGTTCTTCTGATGACACTGGTATGTCTCCTGGGAGAACGTGCAAATGACCCTAAAATTCTCCAGAATGCCTTCCACCACATAGCCAAAATTTACCTTTCTTTAAGGTTCCTGATCCATCCATTTACTGAAATTTTATATTCTTATATCTCTTTTCATCTTATCAAATATTGTAGGTTGTTGTTGTTATGTGCCATCAAGTCGTTTGCGACTCATAGCGACCCTATGTACAACAGCCCTAAACCCCACTCTAGCCTGTGCCAATCACACTGCCTCTGACACACCCATCCCGATTACCCCAGTCACTGAATCAATCCACCTCATAGAGAGTCTTCCCCTCCTGCACTGTCCCTCCACCCTACCAGTACATATTGTAGGTTACGAAGATTATATTAAAATTTACCAAATGAAGAAAAAAAAAAAATTTAAAAAAAAAAAAAATTACCAAATGATGAATAATGCTGTTATGAATATTGGTGTACAAATCTCAGCTTGTGCCTCAGTTCTCATATTCTCAGGGTATATTCCAAGAAGTGGAATAGCTGGGTCATATGGAATTTCTATGTTCAGGTTTTTGAGGAAGTGCCGATCTGCCTTCCAGAATGGTTGCACCATTTTACAATCCCACCAACAACGTATATAGTTCCTTTCTTGCCACATCCTCTCCAACATCTATTACTTGCTGCTGTTAAATTTTGTCACTCTTACTGGAGCAAAATGGTACCTCATTGTGGTTTTGATTTGCATGGAAACAGCCCAGATGTCCAACAACAAACGAATGGATTGAGAAATTGTGGTATATTCACACAACAGAATTCTATGAAGCACGCAGGAACAATAACTTTGTAAATTATTACCTAACTTGGGAGAGACTGGAGAGCATTATGCTGTGTGAACGAAATCAGTCCCACAAGAATAAATATTGTATAAGACCGTTATTGTAGAATGAGTATAAGGATCCAGGAGCAGTGGGAGAGGCTGGAAGCAGAGGGATGTGGATGTACAGGGGGAAGAGGGGATTAATCATCAGGTTGTACAATTTGATGGGTAGGGGTTGAGGGAAATGGAAAGAATTTATATTAGAATTTTGTAAATAAACTAGCGGGGGAAAATTTACCAAATGAAGTTGTATTTCTCTCTTTCTCCCAGGGAGTCTGAGAATCAGAGCTATGTGGCTGTCATGTGATTATGTCATATCTCTTTTTTCAGTCCTTACCCTTTACATGCATAAGAATTTTCAGTAAAACCCTGAGGAGACACCATTACATTCCATTATTTATTTCTCGAGACCTTTTCTAAGTACTAATGTATTTCTTAGAAGTCAAAATAGTCACACAATTACATACAGTACAACGTGTGGACAGTGTGAGTCTATATGAAGGTTAAAACTATTAACACGTTGCTGCACACTTTTAAATTGACGACCGGGCTTAGAAATACTTTTTTTTTTTTGCTGTATTACTGAATAACAAATAAATGCATTAGTACACTTCATACCAATGATGTTCCTTTTTTCATTAATTAAAATGTGCAGGACAGCTATAGTCATCACTTGCGGCAACGTGTTAAATATCCTTTTTTTTTAAATAAGGACAAGGTTTAAATATAACTTAAGAAGAAATTATAGTCATTGCTCGTTCTAGAGAAATGTGACAGCTATGTGCTTAAAAGACACTTGTAAATAAACTAGTAGAAAAATTAAAAAACTAAAAACAACACACACACTAAAGAAAGACACTCTGAAAATGGTTTTCTTTTTTAAGAACAACTCACTCCTGTGGTATAATGTGTTACATGTTGAGCTGCTAACCAAAAGGTCAGTAGTTTGAATCCACCAGCTGCTCCTTGGGAGAAAGACGGGCAATCTCCTCTGGTAAAGGTTTATAGCCTGGGATAATCTTAATAGAGGAGTCACTGTTAAGTTGGAATCGACTTCACAGCAGTGTGGGAAAGAAAGGGTGAGGTGTGCTTAACGTGACGCTAGATACTGAGGAGAGCACATTGCTAAAGGGAAGAATTGGATTCCAACCCACCGGATACTCATGGCCTCTTAGCACAAAAAAACATTATGATTGGCTGGAGTCAGCTTAGTTGGCATTATACCACTTGAACAAGAATTTACTTATGCCTAGGCAAGGAGAACTTGACTTTTGGCATATTCTAAAGATGCGTGATTTCACACACACAATTTAATACGACAGAAACACTGCATGCAATGGATTTAAAGGCATGCATGGACGATAATAAAAGTTTAAGAAACAAGAAATGCCTCAAGTTTCCTTTCATGCTCCTGTGCCGTGTTAATATCTGCGCATTATGATTATCATAAGAGTCCGGAATGAAGGTTGCAGAGTGGAGTATACTTGGGGGGGGGAGGGGATGGGGGGATTGTATACCAATGAAGGAATTTTTCTTTTACTTTTCAAAGAGAAGAGTGAACTGGGGGGCAGGAGGGAGAAAAGTGCAACAATGAATGAATGGAAATCCGAAATCTCTGTAAAAGTTCACTGGAATTAATAAAAAAAAAGAAAAGAAAAATAATATGTATTAAGACAGACTGGAGGCCCATATTCAGGATCTCTCCTGGCCATGTGAGAACAGGGCGCGGAAGCCAGCTGGGAATCTGCGGCAGCAGCCCAAGTTGGGGAGATGAGGGACAATTCCGATGAATATTTAACTTCACATAAAGACAAGTCTTATTGCTTGAAAGTGATCCAAAGCCCAGGAGGTTTTCTGCTGGCCTCTTCTTCCTTAGGAATACCGGTGTCATCCAAACTCAATAAATATCCTTCTTATGCAGGCTGTTTTTGCTATCATTAGTTGCCATTGAGCTGACACCAGCATCTGCATCATGGCATCAGCATCTGGCTATTTACATTTAATACAGCAAATTCTTTGTATTCTAGTCTCAATGTCTCAAAGTTTCAGTGTTGAAGAAGGGTACTGAATATCCATCCCATGGACTGCCAAAAGAACAAACAAATATGTTTTGGAGAAAGTGCAACCAGGATGCTTCCTAAAGGCTGAGATGGTGAAACTTTGTCTCTCATACATTGGGCATGTTGTTAGGAGGGACCAGTGCTTGGCAACAGACATCACAAGGTCAGCAAAGGTGAGGAACATCCTTAACACAATGCATCGACACAGTGACTGTAACAATGTACTCCAGAACAGAAGAGATAAGGAGGATGGCACAGGGTAGGGTGAAGGACAAATCCACTGTGCATAGGGTTGTTAGGACTCGACGGCATGTAACAGTCTTAATAACTACCAATTACCAATGAAAAAGACATAAGATTTCTTTTTCTCCAAGTGGTACATTTTCCTTTATTCATTTGCATTCTCTTGTAAAGGATCTCCAGAGTTTATCATGCTCAGCTTGGTATTTTCTACCCAGAAAACAGTTGGTAATGTTGTTGGGTTTTTTGACAAAACTATAAATTATTTCACAGCGGAAATACCCTACTATTAACCAAACTGAACTTTAACTTTCCATTTACTTGTTTGAAACCAATGTACTATTTAAAAGAACTCTTTCCTACATTCTTATGATTGTATTCTGATTTTTCTTAAAGATCTCTTACAGAATATTTCGTCAAAAGACAGAAGGATAGTGATAGAACTATAATGTTGAGTAAGGGCAGAAATGTACAGTTAATTTCTCTGCTGTCAGAAGCTGTACACCTGTAAAAAGTTTAACCAGAAGAAGTTTTAAGACAGGTACGTTCACACCACCACTAAAAAAAAAGGGTAGTTGCTGAGATTATTTATATACAGCCAAATATGTCATCAGATTCGGTTTTCTGGTTTGGAGGCTCAAGATTCTTGGTTTTGTGAGACAACCCAGTTTAAGTGGCCTAGCAATGTCTTTGTCCTATTTACCACCCAGTTTATTTAGTAGTGTATGTTGTCATTGTTGTTACGTACCATTGAGTCACTTGTGACTCATAGCAACCCTATATACAACAGCCCTAAACTCTTCTCTGTCCTGTGCCAATAGCACTGTCTCTGATACACCCATCCCAATTACCCCAGTCATTGAATCAATCCACCTCATAAGAGGGCCTTCCTCTCCTGCATGTCCCTCTCCAAAGACCCGTCCCTCCTTACATGTCCAAAGTATGTTAGACGGAGCCTTAGAATCCTTGCCTGCAAGGAGCTGCCCGGTTTAACCTGGATTAATCTGTTTGTTTTC